TTACTAAATTTCCTCCATCACATCCTCTCTCCATTGCAGCTGCCTGTGAGCTGAGGAAGCGCACCACTTGTTGACAAGGCTAAAAAAGAGAGTATTCTAAAAGAGGGTCTCCATCAGGTCAGATACGCTACACTTTAAAGATTCTAAGCATTAAGTTGAGACTTAGGTATGCAGAATGAAAGTTTGCCTCAAAAAATTTAGTTAACTAGTTTCAGCTTACTTAAAATATATTAAAAAACTAGCTTAAGATGCATCTCAACAAAATAATGCTTATGAATAAGTTCATTTTCTTTAAAAGTACTTTTTCAACAAAAGAATTATCACTTACCGCTGACGCGGCGAGATTAATTTGTTGATTATCTGGTCGAAAATCAGCTTTCTTCTGTTCCGATGATAGCACAAAGCGAACGTAGCCAACAATTGCATTAAGCTGCCGCTCAAGTCCCATGTTTATTTTTTGCTCAAGCGATCGTAATGAAGACGACCATTTCTTCGCTACACATTGCTCAACAACAGATCCTCTGAAATTCATTAAGCTTGTTCAAATCGACAACGAAAAAGGAAGTCAAACCTACTTTATTAACGGAAGCACGGAGTCTTCGTATTGCTTCATTAGCAAAAGCACTATTGTTGTGTTCTGTGATACCACGGAGAAAAAATATGCTGGTGGACTAACTTTCGGTTCAGCTAAGCTAATACCTGGAAGAATTGCTGTGTAATAACTCAAACAACGAGAAATAGGAAAAAAACCAACCAGCTATTGCCAATTCAACGGCATAATCTAGATGTTCTGAGTAGAGGTACTTTAGTAAGATATCCAAGATATTTTCGCTCTGTTTAGGAACTTCGGACCTCTCGCAGAGCTAAAAAGAAAAGTAGAGACGACGACATTTTTAAGTGATATAATTACAACATAAACAATTGAAAGCTAAATTGAGGAAAAAAGTTACTGCGCAAAAACGGATGTAAACAATTTCTTTCTAGTAAGATCTTAAAGTATTCGGCAAAATTTGACACCAGTGTTGGAAGAGAGAGCTTATAGTCACACAGTCACCTTCTATAAAGCAAGCTCGATAGGATTTAACTGGAAACAGAGCAGTCAAAGAAAAAAAAAACGGACTTAAATGACTGAAAAATTAACTGTCTGCTCAATAATGATCGATGAAGAAGTTAAAAATACAGTTTCATAAGTACCTGCGAAGCTCTGTTGAAAGCGTTTTTTGTCTCTTGTAGAATACTGATAGCTACATCCTCGGACAAGAATGTTTCACCACCGTACGTCTCCACTGTCAAAAGACGCGCTTGTACATCTCTTTTCAGTTCTTGCAACCTGATGAGATGATGGAACTCAGTCAGTTCTATATGTCGAGGACTTGTCCCTACCCTCCACTATGGATCTGCTTCTTGACATGTCTCTTTGATTCATAAAATCGATGTAGTATGATGCTGCATTGAGCATGAAGATACTCCAATTCCTCACTAGGATATGTTGAAAGATACCTAAAAGATCTAGATTTAGCTTAATCGCGAAGTTGAAAAGCAGCATAGATAGATACCTATCGAATATGGATCGAGTAAGAGTGGGTAGGAATGACGCATCGGAGCTGACATGAAGAGCGTCCAAGTCTTTGTTGAGTCGAAGGATACTAAACTTTTCGCGTAAGAAAAAAGAAGGAAGGTAACGCAGATTACATGAGCGCTAAGGAAGAATTTTCAGATGATACGACACCAGCGTGCTCATTATAAAGAACAGTAATTCTTACAAACAAATGGGAGATAGTTTTCTATGTTCCGTCCAAATTTTTACCTTCCAAAATCGATACATAAGGGTTATCGTATTAAGTGTCAAGAATATCCGTGCATAAGAATCACTCGCGAGAAAAGAATGCTTAAGAGCAACTTGAGGATGGCTGTTTACGTATAAATGACGTAAGGGTTAGAATTAAATGGTCGTAAACAGACAAAAAACCTCTAAAACAGAAAAAATAACAAATGCCACTATACATAACCTTGTATATGATTGCGCTAATCCCACAAGGTATCCTTCTCGATCATCACTTTCCTTACAGTCCCTAA